TTGATTGACACAATCAGGACAACGCGCGCTTCCGCGTTTTTGGCCGCATGGGACGAGCAGGATTTCGTGAGTGCCGTTGTCTCACACTACATGCACAGATTTTGGGTTTTGAAACAGACGAAACATCTGGGGAAACAATCACCAGTGATCAATGCGTAGAGGATATACAGACATAAACCTACATTTCCGAGCAAAATGACCTGAACTGAATGTACGAGTAGAATGACAAAGAAAAGAGAAGATTAACAAATTTTGCTGCAATAAGCATCATAGCAATAAGCATTTGTGCCTGGATTGTTCTACTAAAATCACGTACTTTGCTGTCCATATAAGTATGTGTTTACTTTGGCTTCTCGTTTAATTCATATATTCATGTCAATGGAAAGGAAGCGAAAAATAGGCAAAAATTTAGCGAAATTTAGAAAATCTTTCTTGAAACAAAGCATATCCAGTTTCACTTGGAACATATCTTCAATATTTATCCAGTGGCCCTGGTTATCCCGCTGATATCAAAAATATTCAAATAACTCATGGTAGTGAAAGGAGAACTATCGAAATAAACTCATGGTATTATCGAATGGCATGTTGTTACCAACTGGCAGGACCATACGGGCTGCCATTGGCCGATGTCAGACTTTACGATTGGTGTAAAATCACTCCAATCGCAAAGTCTGACATCGGCCATTCCCCCTCGAGCACACGTCCCTGGTCCCCATACGGGCTGCCGCCAGCGTGAATGTGTAAATGTGAATGTGAACCCTATTCTATGAAAGAACTTTTTGTGCATACGCTCTCACTTTACAGATGGTGACCTCACATTTTGGAGCTGGCACAGCGGAAAGCGTGAAACGTGCGCGGGAAGAGAGGCCGGCGGAAAAAATTAGTAAGTCAACATAACGAAATCTGACTGAAGATGCTAGGAAACTTTCACATTTTGAAAAAACAAGTGGAGGTGTTGTTGGACGCGGAAAGATAACCTTGAGCACGGCAAAAAAATCAAAAGAAGGAACAAGTCGACCAAATAAACTCGACGGTGTTGTGGAATTGGATTTTTCTAAGTTAAATATGGTGCTTCTAATAAAATATGAAACTGAAAGCATCTACAACGAAGGAAGATGAAGGCGATAGGAAGCAATACTACTCTTAATTTTGTGTCTACATCAATGATGTCTTCTTAATTTTGTGAACTACATCAATGATGTCCGAACTGCTGAGTTTCTCCCAACGGAATGTTCCTGATTGTCTGATATATACAATTCTACATTTCAGTAGCAACGTCCTTCTACCCTTCCAAAGTGAAATTGGATGTGGGGTATCACGCTTCAGTATACGCCTATTTTGGATTATAGTGTTCCCACACTATAATTAATTTAGTGAATAAATTCTGCAAGTCCACAAATGTTTGCGATTAGGTTTCCTGTTTTGCGCGTAAGGGTTTTAACAGAACACAAATTACGCTGGTGAATAGACTGCTACCAATGAGGAGCCGTGAGGACCACTACACGACAGAGTTAAATGAAGCGATCTCTTTCGAGCGTAGAGTGAAGCTATACACAAAAGTAATTATGTATAGTCAAAGCGCCAAAAAAATGCTGGGTCCTTGTTATGAATGCAGCTCTTCCCGCTCACAATGCAAAGGTCTGAGGGGTAGCGGAGGGTGGAAAGGGTGCCTGCTCTTGCTCTGGTCTGCTATACTTACTCGTTCCCTCACTTAGTGGATGCCCCCCAAGAGGTCCATAGCGCGGCGAATAGGCGTCAGGTTAAATAGAGTGTACCATTACTACGTCTCATATCGTACAGCACGCGCTGCGACTTGTCCTTTGCTGCGCCTGCGTCTTTTCCTTCACCGCCGATGGGCCTCTTGGGGGACACCATTCGCTTATTCTCTCGCCTCGATACACAATGTTTCCTGAACGTGTCTGTGCCTATCTCTTGAAGTGCCATCCAAGAAGAACTCGGTAGCTTCCTGTTTATCGCGGTTTCTTCACCTCATGGGCTTCTTATGACCAGCACACATATACGTATGGAGCATTTCTGCGCAAAATAATCACACCGATTCGGATTTTCCGTGGGAAGTGCCGAATTTTGAGTGAAACACGATAATGCAGAACCTGAAAAGAGCTGCTGTTTGCTGTCATTAAGGCAAGCAAGGAGCAGCCGTTAGTATGATTCAATTTACAGTTCTCTCTGATTATTCATCTCGTAAGGACGTACGATCTCGGCCGACGGACTACTTGAACTCAGCCCCAAATGCTGGTTTTAGCCACGACAACTGAGCTCGAACGAAATAATTCTATTCGTTGCTCCTAATTTGCTTGAACGGCGACAATAACAGCTCATTTCAGTTGCGAGGAAATAATTCAAGTCGCAGTATATTGCAAAGTCTGCTCACCATTTCGCAAACGGACTCATAGAGTTAAAAAAAATCTTGTATCGTATATGAATAAACAGGAATATAGCCATAAACGACATTAAAAACCTTCTCACAGGTAAAAGTAAAACCAGAAACAAAAATGCAAATCTGAAAATGCAAAAGCTACCTTCATTTTATCGTAATCATATCCTTTTCTCAAGCATCTCTCCACAGCATCCGTCACTTTTTGTTGCTCTTCTCTTCGGCTGAGGTATCGATCGCATATTTCTTCTAACTCACCGCGACCCATATTTTTCTACAAATACGAAGGGAATATAACTGTAAGTAATAAGTTGAGCGAAGCTAATAGATGGAATACGACTCTACTGCATGGAAACCTTTTCTCACAGCATGAAACTTGTCGAATCAACCAACAATTCAGCAAGCTCAAAACAAGATGTGCACTTTTCGCTTTACCTTTCGCGAATTTGAGCTCGATTTTCAAGACACAAAGAGAAAACTGCTACCTCACAATTCCTCAAGGTTACTACACAAAATATTACAGCCAAGGCACTCCTCCTTCACATGAGCTGAATATTAGATGGATGAGATAGGATTGGTTTACCATGCGGCTAAAGAAAATAAAGCGCGTAAAAACACCACAAATCACCGGTGTAATTGCGTACGGCGTCTGAATAACAGTACCTTCCGCCTAAATTTATTCAAGGAACGCACTCGAGCCGTGTGTGTGCTGCTTTTCCAGTCATTTCGTGGTAACTCATTATGTGAGAGTGCAAGTAATCCTGTCCTCCAACTATACAGCTTCGCAGCGACAACCCTGGAAATTTCCTTTGCCCTCCAAGCAGTCCGTCACACTTTCAGCGTAAAGTGTTAGACTTCCTTAACTTTTCAATAAGACTGTCACATTTTGGAAATTTCTCTGGTTAAACCAGTGATAGTTATCGCTGGCGAATGCCTCACACTTGGTGCGCCCTGGCAAAAAACCTCCCAATATGTGACATGGAAACTTCAAAAACGCGCTACAATTCTAATCTGCTGGAGAAATCCGACTGTTTGTTCTTTTCTTAAAGTTTGGGATTTATATTGCAAGTAGTTTTTCAATTTCATTGCGCTTTTAAACACCACAGTAGGAGTGTCATAACAGGAACAATGGACCATTTAGAGTTATGAGTGTCTGAGGGCAATCTCGTGTTTCATTGGGTGTGGCTTACCCAAGGCATTTAAAACCACAACAATCCCTTTCTTTATCACTAACTTCTAGAAGAAGTAACACTCATCTAGTCTTTGTTCTTGGACATCGGAATAAGCTCAATCACTATAAAGCTTCTTTCGCATAAAGCTTCCTCCCTACGAAAATTGAAATTTTCATTTTCGTAGGGCATGAACTATAGCGCCTTAATACCACTTCTTCCTCTCCATCCCTCTGCCCCCACAAGCCCAGACGTTTTACGCAATTTAAAATGCGTGGTCGCCACAATGCCCCGTACATCGTGATCATTGTGTTCAACACTTGTGAGAAGCTGAGACATGCAGGCCCCAGTAGTCTGAGATGTCCGTCAGACTCGGCGATTGTGCCGAGTCTAAGACCGCCAGCGACGATCGCGTCGCTCCATCGCTTGTCCGTCGCCGAGTGTGACGGGGGTGTGGTTCACTAGGACAGAAAGCGACTTTTTCGCGTTTCGCAGCGCGAAACATTGTTCGTTGCGGGAACCTCGGGTCCACTGAGGTTCCCGCAGCGGAAAATGTTTCGCGCTGCGAAACGCGAAAAAGTCGCTTTCTGTCCTGTAGTGAACCACACCCGTGTGACGGCGGTCTGACGGATCTGTTTTTGAGTGCTGTTTGGGCGGGAGTGCACGTAGGAGTAAAAGGACACTGCCTTTATCGTTGCCTTCCAGACACATTGTGCTACATATTAGGACCTTTTGAAGATAATAAATGGCACCTCTCTTGAGTTCCAGTAAAAGGTCGGAAAAGTTGTAAACTTACCATCGATCATTTCCAGATGCGAGACGGATGTTTTAGGACACCATGTTCATACACAGAAAGTTTGGACAGAAGTGCTCAGTTTTCACCAGTTGCTGAAAATAATGCCAAAAGGACGTCGGGGGCTGTGAACAGGTGAGTAATGGAAGTAAAAACATCGTTTCTGTGTTCCCAATTTCTTCTGATTTCCAGGTCAAATAGAGTCAAGGCAACACTTCTCCCATGGTGTGTCGCGCTAGCTGTTCTTCTTATTGAGGTCATTTAGCTTTTTCTTTGAAGTGTTCCTTAATTGCATCAGCACCTTCACATCTCTTTTTTTTTTGAAGATCTTCACGATTGGCTCCTCAATCGGTCAATTCTTGGTCGGAGAATGGTTACCATGTGCTGTCGTTGTTACATGCGAATACATTCTTCTGCTCTATATCGTGACTGTTGCAGTTTGGATAATTTACGATATGTTTAGTGTCTCTTCCGAGAGGGGATTCATGCATGGTTTGTTTTTCAATGCACAGTGAGGCCGGACGCATAGTCGGTCGGACGACAGCAACGACTGCAAGTGTCACCGATTGGGTTGCGTATCGATACGGCGACACTGCGGTCGTGCTGCGTCCGACAGCACCGGTCATGCTGTCGTCCGACCGACTATGTGTCCGGCCTGAAGGAGAGATTCTTTTGAGTCAAAACTTTCGTGGATGCTGATTGACTTTCAACTTGAGGAGTTGGAGTTTCGAATCCTCTTTTTCAGCCAGTTTTGGCATGATATTACCGTCGCCCTATCCTCATTCCAAAGTATCTAAACCTCACTATCCGCTGGATACTTCCAATCGTGCAGATTCCTCTTGGATTGATGACCACCACTTCGGTAAAGTCGCAGAGGAAAGCCCATCACTGTCTCGACCTGCGTACTCCTCCCCAAATCACAGGTAAACTCGTTTAACTGCAAGTTGTTGACGTTATGAGAGTTGGGAGCGGGGGGGGGGGGTGGCAGGCTCGGCACAAAGATACAGGGCGTCGCGCTCATCTGAGTCTTCTCGATGGGTTGCGTGAACTTCCACACTTCATTTTTTCACATTTGTCAAGTGGCTTTTCCTGCAATCTTCCTGATGGGGTTGGCGGAGACTACCAAACTCGGTCCTTCGAATTGCCTCATTTCGATGCTCTCGTCTGTGCTCTCTCTCCTACTCAACGCCTCATGAGCAGTGTGAATGTGACAGAGGCATTCAAAACTCGTCACAGCTGTCAGTTGGCTCACCCACTCGCGTAGTCCTCCTGCAACCTCACAAATGGCTTATTGTTAATCTACCAGCTTCCACTTCCTCCTACGAATTGAAGCCCTGAGCCAAGCGCCGTTCTTGGCGACCCTCGCTTAAAGGCGCGGTTGAGCAGAGCACCCCTACACACTTCCCTCCCCATTGCGCCACGTCTTGCATGAACCCATCTTGGTGCTAAGTGAGTTGGGCGCGGCGGCGCCGTTTTTCAAGCATGATGGGACTGAAGCTAGGCCTAGAAAGGAGTAGTAGGCTGTGAACATTGTGAGTGTGATTTTGCAGAATCCAACTTTTTACACATTTAAGCCCCATCTGGGCTCAGGCTCGTCTGCCGTTGCGCTTGACAGACTATGCGCCGATTGCTCTGCTTGATTCCCCCACTCCTCACTTAGCACCGCCTCTTAACCTGAAAATGGTTTCGATTTCGTCGATTCAGTCGGAAAAGTTATGAAGTCATGTTCATATTTCGGCGCTCATCAAATATTACAACATAAATATCTTTTTGATTTTGTTGGAGGCGTCCAATTTGACGTCATTTTATGTAAAATTGGTGATGGCACCTATACTGACTTTGACGTCAAAAATAATGTGACATTCATGGTCATATCTCAAAGACCCCTATGTGAGTCTGTAAAGAATCAATCCCGATCAACATTCGTGGGCCGAAAGCGACCACAAATTCTCATTACAA